CTTCAAATTCTTTCGGAATTTTTAGGCACTCTGTGATCCTAAATCCTAATTATCAAATATTCCACCTTTGGAGCTATGTTTCTTTTTTCCATATACGTCTGCTCAGATGGGGAATGCAGAGTTGCTATGCTATGATTAAAGAGATGCAGGGGTTATACTGACTTAGCTTCACTTGAACTCCAAGGCTCCAGGGTGAGCTGGACCACCACACATCAAGATTGTAAGGCTGAATGCTTCACATCATCTCATCAAAGACGCCACCAGAAACATTATCATATTGCCACATCTGCGCAGCCTGTGATGAGTATGTGAACCTGGGAACGACAAAATAAGAGTCATGGATATCTAGCAGTGAGGCCAGAACAAGTTGTGGTGCAAATCAGAGAATTACATGCGTGCTTTTCCTTTTTGGAGTTCATGAGCTGGGAAGTAGTGAAGTAGAAAGATCTAAGCATGTGAACTCTGATCCACACACACACAAGGGCACTAAAAGACAGATCTTGTTGTGCTAGCTCCATGCAGTTCTGATTCTAATGCCAGAATAGGGTGGGGTCTAAGGGACAAGCAAAGTAGTCTGTGCATTTGATTTGATAGAGAGAACAATATGCTCAGAAAAGCATGATAGACTGTAGAAATATGCATTGTATTCTACATCGTTACATAAAAGCTATGGTGTTCCCATACTGTAGAGATTGAAAACAGCAGGATAACGTCGCAAATTAGAAACTTCATTCACTGCATCTGTCACTAGAGCAACTTCTGTTGATGCAGTGAATAGCCTTCTGCATGTAGCTTATTTGGTGCTCCATCCAGGACTGGGATTCAGCTGATGCCCGCAGATCCTGAAAATCCAAATTAGATTGCTACTGCTTCCAAAGTTTTTACATTCACAGAATCTCCTGTTGTTTCGGAATCTATCACCTTGTAAAGATAAGAAGGTCATGGAATGTTGCTCTCATTGGTTTGAATTCTTATGCGTATTGGGCCTACGTTAGTGAATCAATGAAATCAATTCGACCGGCCACACAGTTGAGAGTGAAATGATGTGGTCCAAATCGCTCTACAAGTCAGGTGTGCTCTCAAGCATGATAATCACATCTCAACTATTAGATCTTTTGAACACCATCAATATAACTTGTCTTCGTCTAGCACTGGTTGAGGACAAGCTATTTTCTACAATTCAGATCAATCAATCCATCAACACCCACATTGTTTTTATGGCTCGCTTGCTTGATGTATATGCAGCAACAAAGCACGCAGACCATTGAAACCCCTCAATTCCAACTACACCCAGGAACCTTCTCGAGCCCAACTCCCCACATCATGCTCCTTATGATCTCAGCTTCTTCCCATTTGCCAGCATTTGAGTACAAATTAGCCATCACAATGTAATTACCGGTGTTCTTAGGCTCAATTATAAATAGTCGATCGAATACAAATCTACCAAGCTCAACATCACCGAATTCTGCTGCTCCATTAAGCAATGGACCCCAGACCTTTGCATTTGGTTCAAATGGCATGCTGTTGACAAGCTCAAGTGCATCCTTTAGCATCCCTGAACGGCTGAATGCAGAAACCATGCAAGCATATTGCTCCATCACCGGATTGATACCAAACACAACCTGCATGGAGTTAAAAACTTTACGAGCATCAGCTACCTTGCCAGTATAAGCACAAGCTGTAAGCACAGCAGTGAAGACTATGGTATCCGGTCTGATGCCAGCATTGATCATCTCATTGAACAGGCACAGTGCCTCTGCAGCTTCTCCATGAGCCGCAACAGCGGATATGATTGATGTCCATACAATTTTGCTTCTATCACTAGTCAATTTAAAGACCTTTCGAGACCCATCAAGAAATCCAGCCTTTGAGTAAGCATCCATCAATGCAATCACGACACTGATACTCTGATCATGGTTGTTTCTGATCGCATAGCCATGTGCTTGCTTCACTCCCAGTAGGGTGGCGAACAAATCAACTGAAGGAATGATGATTGAAAGTGTGGCTGAATTGGGTAGAATTCCAGAACCAATCATCTTATTCAGTAGTCCAAGCACTTCAGACTGGCGACCATTTTGAACCAATCCAGCAATCACTGCATTCCAAATGCTGATACCTTGAGCATCTGCTCGCTGGAATAGCTCCATTCCCTTGTCGACATGCCCATGGTTCATGTAACCAGTAATCATGGCACTGTAACTGACCGCATCTTTCTTAGGCATCCCTTCAAACAACTCTCTTGCATACTCCAACCTTCCACATTTGGCATAAAACCCAACTGTTGAGTTCCACACTGCGATGTCCAAATCAAGCCCATTCTCGGCAGCAAGACAGTGCACTCTTACCCCAAAATCGACAGCCTTGAGCTGTGCACAAGCATGCAATACACTAGCCACCGTGATGCTGTTGGGTCTAACACCACCAGCATCATGAACGCTCGCTAACTCCTGAAACAGCTGCAGGCACTCCCGGTACCACCCTGCACGAGCGTAAGCCGATATCAACGAGTTCCAGGACACCACGTCTCGCCGCGGCATTTCGTCAAATATCACGCGAGCAGACCGCGAATCTCCGGCGTTCGCGTACGCGGTGATGAGACCATTGGACACGAACAGGTCGTCCCCAAAGCCGCGCTGGACCGCGACGGCGTGGAGCTCCGCAGCGACGAGTGCAGACAGCCTCGGTCCGGACTCGGCGAGCGACTTGAGGAGCGCAGAGAGCGTGATCTCGTCGGGAGAGATGCCGGATGTGGCGAAGAGGCGCACCGCGGCGGAGGGATCGGGCGAGTGGAGCGAGAGTGCAATGAGGATGGCGTTCCAGGCGAAGACGCTGGGCTGCGGGATGGCGTCGAACACCCTGCGTGCGTCGTCAAGGCGGGCTGCGCGGGAGTAGAGGGAGATGAGCTTGGAGGCGAGGAAGTTGGACGGCGTAACTGAGAGAGCGACGAGGCGGGCGTGGAGCTGGCGGCCGGCGGCGAGGTGACCGGAGTCCGCGCAGAGCTGGACGAGGTGGCCGTACGCCCGAGGGTCCGGCGGCACGGCGGTGAGCCACGACGGGAGCTTCATTAGCTCTTCCTGAACGGCTACTCGATTAAAGGCAGGGTAGTCCTTTCATAAAACAAATTACATATAAATTAAAGAAACTGATTTTTTATAAGATTTCCATAAGAAACAGTTCACTTTCTAATGAATAAAAAATGTCACATTTTAATCAGTCTTTGACAGCCGTGGTCCCCACATTTTAATCTAAATACAGTTATTTAGATTGCGGGCTGTTAAGGTTCAGTCACCAGTAAACAAAACAGATTCAAAAGAGCTAGTGATTGACCGCCAGATTTAGATTGCGGGCTGTTAAGGTTTCAGTCAAATAATTGTATCAATTGCCAGTAAACAAAACAGATTCGAAAGAGCTAGTGGTTGACCGCCAGATTTAGATTGCAGGTTGTCAAGGTTTCAGTCAAATAACTCTATCAATTGCAACTAAACAAAACAGATTCAAAAGAGCTAGTGATTGACCGCCAGATTTAGATTGCGGGCTGTTAAGGTTTCAGTCAAATAACTGTATCAATTGCCAGTAAACAAAACACGTTCAAAAGAGCTAGTGTTAAGGTTTCAGTCAAATAACTGTATCAATTGCCAGTCAACAAAACAGATTCAAAAGAGCTAGTGAGCTACTAGTACACATTAGAGACGGGATACTGTCACCCCTGAAAAGAATAATTGTATGCTCCTGGCATATGATATTATGTGTAGATTACAATGGTAGAACTCCACACGTACAAACCTCCGGGTTTTGTGTTTGTATAAGGTTACAATCTTCTGCATTGCACTTGCAGACTTATATCCCATTACGCACGCAGGGTCACATCATATCTTGTTTCTAAGAATCTAATAGGATCCTGGCATGCTTCAGCAAATTTGGCGGCAAATCCACCAAAAATAGATGACGCACAAGTTACTGAGGAATGAGGATCACAACCAGCTAGGGCCCAGGCCACCAATCAACTAAATAGCCTTCCAAAAATTGTACGATCACGAATGGAACCTCGCCTTGCTTCTGTTTCTTCTAGTACACTACATATATGCTAATACTATTTTAGAAGTATCCGCCATATCTTTCTCATGTACACCACTAGGGACCATATGGCGAGTCCAGCGGAAACGTAAAGTAGAGCAACACCGGGGGCAACTAGAGCACCTTGCACAGGTAGACTGCAAAATAGAGTGCATAACACGAACCATGTCATGTATCAATTGGAAAAAGGAAACAATAGCAAAACTACAATAACATGGACAAATGAAATTTCATGTACCTTGGGTCTCTGCTGGCGAGAAGCAGAGTCAATGCTGTCATCTGTGTCGCTGTCTTCCACTTCCCTAAGTTGTTAACTGCAACAGCCTGTTGTGGCAAGTTGAAATTTCTTTAGTTGTTGAACTTCTATCGATACAATGGAACAGAAGAGTAATAGAGGATAGAGGAACCTCAAGAACTTTGCTATTCTGCGATGCAGCCCACTCTCTCACGGCTGACATTGTAATCTACATAAAAACAGACAAGAAAAAAGTGATGTCAGATTTTTTTACCCGTGGCAAGCTCGCTCCCATACCACATACATAGCAGCAGCAAATAACTCATAACACAAAGCAGCAGAATCAACTTTTATTCATTTAAAAGGAAAAAGGACACATACGTCTATGAACAAAGAACAAAGAACATCTCTAGCAGGTTGAGAAAATGTGACCCCTTTCTCCCATAACCAGTGATAAAGGGAACTTGGGGGGGGGGGGTCCAGTAATTTCCTTTACAATCCCTTTCCCAAATTTTGTTCTCAACTAAGAAAAACTTTCCTCCCTCAAGCAAAGGGGATCAGCTCTCCATCCCCTTTCCTTCCCTCACTCAACCCACCAGGTGCTCAACGGCTGTTCACATTCATCACGGACATGCCCCTGCGCCACTGAACCACCACGCCACCAGGACCGCACGTGCCACCACACTAGGTTATGCGATGTGACACCATGAAAGAAGAGAGAGTAGTGTGGGCGAGCAGGCCGCATTGTCAGGTGCCACACTGCCGCGGTGCCGGGTGCCAGGTGTCTCTCGGTAGGGGATCAGGTGACCGTGAGAGAGAAGAGAGGGAGAGGAAAAGGAGAATGGTGAGGAAGGAAAAAAAAAGGAAAAAATAAATTGACCCACTGGCATGTGGGTCCTACATGTACAGATGTCATGTGAGGTAAAGAGATGGTGTTAAAAGGGATTTGCTGCAATACCCATCCCTCGTATCCCATGTATGTTAAAAGGGATTCCCACTATAGAAGATTTTAAGGAAAAATGGATAGGGGATTGCTAGAGATGATCTAAAGCCACTCACGATAGCACATTCATAGGAAGGTTATCGGACAAAGCTCATGATCTCCCTAGCTTAACTTTTATGGCAACATAGGGCTTGTTTGGTAGAGCTCCACCCTGATTCTCTGATGGAGTTATTCTGGTGGGGAGCAGGTGGAAAGTAATTCTAGAGTGATTTTGGTGGGGATTGAATGGGGAGCATTTTTTTTTAGCTCCCAATGTAAATGGAGAAGCAATTCTTGTCATATTCCCACAAGAATCTAGTTGTGTTTTACCCGTTGGGTGTCTAGGTGTCGAGGAGTGATTCCAACAGAGAATCTAGAGCTGGGAACACTGTTTCAGACAAACCACAATACCGCATGGTGAAATGACTCCATCTTGCTTACCAGCTCCACTAAAGGTGGTGGAGATTCCAAAACACCTTTCCGTGAAGTTATTAGCATGTATGATTGTATGGATAAATGCATGCACCCAATACTACAAGCACCAAGTTAATGACCGGGATGGTAACTGTAATGTTGAGGGATAAACATAGAGATAATGTCAGCTAAGCAGACAGTTATTCATAAACATATATATCAACATAAGTCACAACAGCATTCTGAAATTTCCAGATCTATGATTCCCCACCAAGACAAAAATTACAATTAACAAATGATTTCACTAAATGCTTCGGAAGTGGCAATGCAGATTGGCAGAGTAACTACCTCTCTCCCAATGATAGCAATGGAAGGGACTGTTAGAAGCCATGGCCCATCATTGAGCAGTGATGTTTCCAAAGGTTTGGTGCATAACAAAACTAATGTTGCGGCTACCATAAGCTGCAGAAAAGAATTAGAGCAATTAATTGGATCCTGTGAGTAGCTCATCTTTTGAGAACTGATAGTCTTGAGTCGTAAACATGCCAGAAAATTGTGGGCAGCAGAGACAGAAAGAAACCTTGTCAGCCACAGGATCAAGAAATGCACCAAAAGGTGTTCCTAGCTGCATCTGTATATAAACCAGATCATCAGGAAACGTAAATGAGTAAAAAAACACTGGAACAGCAACCCAGTCTAGCATATAATTCAGATAATATTTTCAACATGCCTTTCTAGCAATATAACCATCTAGCCAATCAGTAACTGCAGCAGCAAGGAAGATGCCTGTTGTGGCCGTAGCTGCCCATGGACCCTCCATGTAGAAAGCTGTTGGTGGTAGAAATGATAACAAAAGGTAAAAAAAATAAGAGAAACAAACCAATTAAACGATACGTCTGCAGTCAAATAAACACTATTAGGTTGAACATAAGCATCAAACCAAACAACTTGTAAACACGTATAAATAGCAGCGCCCAACAGAAACCAACAGAAATATATTGTGTTAGAAGCAATAGTGCATGGTGCTTAATCCTGCTACACAGAAGCAGAAGAAAAGACAGTTGCTCAAGGAGGTTCGTGATCAAGTCCAACTGCATGAAAATTAAGTTGTTGGACCCTTTATGGAAAACAAACAATTCACACTCCGGTAAGCAAACAAGTAATGTTTCTTTACCTTATATGGATGCTAAGGATCATGCCCAACCAAATCGATGCACCGACTCCGCGCATCAAAGAAGATGCATGTGCAAAGTCATTTCAATAAAGCTTTGGGCAGTTGGAATACAAAAGCAAACTATCGTGAAGTAATGTTTCTTTACTATATATGGATGATAAGTATCGTGTCAATCCATTTAATAGCTGCACCAACTCCGCACATCAACAAGAGCTAAAAAAAGATGCATGTGCAAAGTCAATTCAATAAAGCTTTGGGCTGTTAGGATAAACGAAAGGGTAATTGTTTTGGCACTTGGATTTATGGAGACTGGCAGTGGCTACACATGTTTCAACCTCATTTCACAATAAATTTTATTGATAAAATTAATGAAACCACAAATTTTGCTGTTCAAGCTGCATAAAGGATCCCTGGCGTTTACGTGCTGTAGCACATAGCCACAATTTTTCTGATCCTAAGACTACCTCATACTGAGGTTACAACTTACAAGAGACCTCAGTATAAGGCCAGACAGACTATAGTATCTGGGCAGCATCTCTTCCTCCACAACCACCTCATACAGCTTGATGTGCAGGTTGTGGAAGGTGCTGGGCAGGTACTGCAGGTTGGGGTTATTAAGGAGTGGGCCATTGTGTAATTTCAGAAACACGAAGCCTTTAGTTGTGTGCCACAGTCCAGAACCCCCAAGGTTATTTGCAACTTGGATCATAAACTATTTTCCTATGTAGTTAAGGCAGACATAAATTGTTTGTGCAAGTTACACGTATGTACTGGCAGTTCAAGATTAAAGACAGAGAATTAGGGAGGTTAAAACGTTCTTATAACACCTCCAGCATCTGTCACTGTTTCTGTTTAGTGAATAAATAATTAGATGAATTTGTTCCAGCAACAAACTTGCAACGAAAGTGGCCTTTTTAGGCTTTACTTGTTATAGTTTTTCTCCTACTCAGTCGAAGACCTTATCACCACCGGCAGGCTTCCACCATTGCTACTACATATTGAACTGCCAGTACATACGTGTAACTTGCAAATATCCACCCGCCTCAAGATGTCATGATCCGACCAACAGAAGCAGCAGCACGGAGAGAAGAGTAAAAGAAAATAAACAGGATTAACTTACTGCTGATCAGGAGAGGCACGGCAGCGACGCGGCCAATGGTGAGCACGGTGGGCAGCGTGAGCAGCCTGGGCGGCGCGGTGGCGGGCTCCTCCTTGGTCATCCCGTTCACCACCGGCACGTCTTTGGCGAGTCCGTTCACCGCCGGCACCCGCCTCTTCCTGGACCCGACCCCCGCATCAGATCCCATCCCCTCGCCGCCGGAATGCGGCGCGGCGCACAGCCCCCGCGCCGCCGACGGCCACCGGAACCGGCGGGCTGCGGCGGCGAGAGCGGCCGCCGTGGTCGGCAGGCGGCGGCCGGCGGGCGGAGGAGGAGGGTGAGGAGAAGGGGCCGGGGCGGGGGCGGGGATCCGGGCCGCCGCGCGGGGGGAGAAGAAGGGCTTGGCGGCTGCGGCTTTGAGGAGGAGGGATGCGTGGGTGGCGACGGATGAGGGCATGGGGCGGATTGATTCCTCCTAGTCTCCTACTATTGTGGGTGGGCTGGGGTGGGGAGAGGAGGCGTACGCAGCAGGCGCGTAGAGGGGCGGGCGGGACGGGGAGGCCTCGTCTCGTCGTGTACGACTGTACGAGGGGGCGATAGGGAGGAGGGCCAAATCCGGGGGGTTGCGCAAGAACGGCGATTGATTGATGGGACGCCGCACCGCAGTTACGACGCCCGTAGCAGTGTAGCACTGGTGGGCTGGCCGACGGCTGGATCCCACTGAGCAGCGAGCATTTGGGTGCTGGTGCAGGTGCTCGTGGTCATTTGCCTCGTGGGGCCGCCGGGGACCTGGATCTAGGCTCTCTCCCGTCCCTTGCTGCTTCTGCAGCTTGGGGCTTGTTTAGATGTAAAAAAATTTTATAAAATAAGTACCGTAGCGTTTTGTTGTTATTTGGTAAATAGTATTTAATTATAGTCTAATTAGGTTTAAAAAATTCGTCTCGTGGATTTCGTCTAAACTGTATAATTAGTTTTATTTTTTATTTATATTTAATGCCTCATGCATGCATCCAAAGATTCGATGTTACAGGGAATGTGAAAAATTTTGCAAACTCAACTGGACCTTGGCGTCCGGGGGAAGTATCTTGTGTTGTGTCCTGTGGGCCACGTCGTGCAATCGGAGTGACATGGGCAGAACGTCGACGGCGAGAGGTGTGGCCCGTTACATGACGACACGACAGCCCTTATTTTAACCTCCACCGACTCCATAGGTGCGTGTGTTCGCGGACGGCATGACTCGGTTTGCATGATGTTTACTCTGCGCGCGTTTAGTTCGCGAAAAGTGCGAAATTTGGCTACTGTAGCAATTTCGTTTTTATTTGGTAATTAGTGTTCAATCATGGACTAATTAGACTCAAAACGTTCGTCTCGCAATTTCCAACAAAACTGTGCAATTAGTTTTTATTTTCATCTACATTTAATGCTCCATGCACGTACCGCAAGATTCGATGTGACGGGTACTGTAGCACTTTTTGGGAAAACTTTTTGCAAACTAAACAAGGGCTCTACCTGTCTGTGTGGTTGTGACGTGATTTCTGATTTGGCTTGCCAATTGGACAATTCCTTCCTGACAAAATTTTACTAGCTCGAGTCAGCACCAACGGCTTCAAGCTTATTTCCTCCGGTCCTAAGTCTCTGACGTGGCTCTACATCTATACTTTTACGTAATTAATTAGAATAATTAATAGCTGCAGTTTCTATAGTCCAATTGTGATGAAATTTTTATGGTGAGCTAATTATTCTATGATTGAACTGCAGTAAAAATTTCATACTCATTCGATCATGTATAGCTTAGTTATAGATTTATTTATATTTAATAAGCATAAACCTAAATAAAATATATAACTAAGTTATACATGATCTAATGAGTATAAAATTTTTACTACAGTTTAAGCATATAATAATTAGCCCACCATAAAAATTTTACCATAATTGAACCATAAAAACTGCAGCTATGAATTATTCCATTTAATTACAGAAAAAACATATATCTAAAGCCACAACAAAAACTTTATATTAAAACATATCATATTATATGTTCACTGTGTAGATCTACTCATGTGGAGTCCAACAAAATTATATTTTCTATTTTATGATTTTTCTATGATTTACTATAAGTTTTCAAATATTCAACCAAAATAAATAAAAAAGAAAAAGACAAAACACCTTCAAAACTGTTTATAACAGGACCAGAGGAGTTAAGATGAATACTTTTAAAAGTTAAGGGAGGTGTTTTGTTCAATTTTAAAGTTTGAGAAGAAAAACGGACTTTCACGAAAATAAAGAGAGGTAATGTAGATTTTTTGTTTCAATCGTGGAGAGAGAGAATCTACAGGCGCGCGCGTGGGTTGGCTTGGTTGGTTCACTCTTCACTGGTCCTCACGCTGGCGGCCGGCCCGCCGCGCCATCAGGCTGGCAGTGGCAGGCCTGCTACAGCGACAGCGCGAGCTCCCAGGGGCCCAGCAGTGCCCGCCAAACAAAATCCGTCAACGACCACCATGCGGGCCTGCACGAGAGCCTCCACGAACCATGCCTCCGTGTGGCAAAAGCGGTGCTACTCCTCCAACGAAACCAACCCCCTTGGGGCCCACCCTGGCCACCAGATCTTCTGGAACTGCAGGAGCCATGTCCTCTTCGGTCCAGCCTCTGAAGCGTGCACCACAATTCACATCTTCGGTACAGGGTGTGCGTATCTGAAATTGGCCAACCAATGATGCAAGTGAGCGTGACAATGACAAGCTGAAGACACAGCTCAAAAGAGTGTTTGATTACACCTTCTAAATTTTAGTCGACGTGACATTATATGTTTGAACACATATATAAAGTATTAAATATAGACTATTTACGAAACTAAATGTATAGATTGACACTGTTTTGCGAGACGAATTTTTTAAGCCTAATTAGTCCATGATTTGACAATGTGGTGCTACAGTAACATGTGCTAATGACGGATTAATTAGGCTTAATAAATTCGTCTCGCGGATTATTGACGGATTCTATAATTTGTTTTTTATTAATATCCGAACACTTCATGCGACACCCCCATGTGACACCTCCTAAACTTTAGTCATTGGCAAAGTTCAAGGAGGCGCTAGGCGCTCTCTAGGCGGTGACCCATAACCTAGCGCCTAGACGGGCCTAGGCGAGTCTAGACGTTTTAAGGCGTTTTTCTAGGCGGTAGCTAATACATGCATAAATACTTAAAAGAAAAAAGAAAAAATAGCATATCGGTGGTGGAGAAATAAGAGAAGGTCCAATAACGATCCAAGTCTCCCAAGTCTGGTCCAAGTCTTATCCCCTCCCCTCTCGGCCTCTATTCCCATCTCTCTCCCTCCCAGCTTCTGCTCGTGCTCGCTCGTCGCTCGCCCACGCCGCCGCCATCGCCCGACGCCCCGACGTTGACTCCTTCCCCACCGGTCGTCGCCGCCCCCGCCGACGTTACCTCCTTCCCCCATCGCCGCCTGACGTCAGCGCCATCCGCACTCGTCCCTGCTTTGACGGATCTACCCGCCGCCACTGTCTGACGCCGCCTCTTCCCGTATCGGCCGCCACTGCCTCACCTTAGCTCCTCCCCCATCGTTTCCCGACCTCCGCGCCGCCCCGACAGGTTCCTGCCTTGACGGATCTGGCCGCCTTTCGGCGGCAACAGTTGGGCAACCGCCTAGGTACCCGTCTACCCCCCTAGGCGAGGCGGTACCCTGTCGCCCAGCGCGTAAGCGCGCCCAGCCGACCGCCTAGCGTCGCCTTTTTGAACATTGGTCACTAGATCTAAACACCCCAGGTTAACCAACAGATTGGTGGTAGTGTGATACTGTTGTGCTGCTGCGTATTTGGCTGCTCTTCAACAGTTCAACACAGCAGAGCTAGCTATAGCCGTAGACAAACACTGTACACGGACATTTGGGCCCTGGATCATAGAACTGACAGCTAGTTAATTATTTTTTAGTCCCTAGATATTCAATCTTCATCCACTAGTTATTAGTAATAGGACCGTTGTTAGTCCTAGTTCACCTAAACGGCCCCTTTGATCAATAATGCTCCGGTGCTTCTGCCCTCGGATCCTGCACGCTGGTCACAGAAATATCCGTTCCTCTTCCGCCTTGTTTAGTTGGGGGTTAGAAATCAATATTCGGTACCGTAGCACTTTTATTTGTATTTGATAATTATTGTTCAATTATAGTCTAACTAGGCTCAAAAGATTTGTCTCGTAATTTACAATTAAACTATGTAATTAGTTATTTTTTTATCTATATTTAATACTCTATGTATATGTCAAAGATTTAATATGATAGAGAGAATGAAAAAACTTACAATCTAAACCTCAACCACCAGACGACCAGACGAGGTAGTCCAAAAGCTTGGGAGTTGGGACAGAAATAGTAACAGCACGCACGGTCTGACACCCTGCCATGATTAAAGGTACCAGTGTGCCCGCTAGGATGTTCAGCTCTGTTCGTTTGTTGGTTTTAGCCAGTCTAAATCAGTCAGCCAATAATATTTTTCTTTCATAAAAAACCAACACCAGCCAGTTCAAATCAGCCCAGAAACCACCAGCAAATAGACCGGTTATTATACTAAGTTACCTGTCACACGGATACTAATTATAAAATTAATTACAGAGACCATGACTAATTTGAAAGACGAATTTATTAAGACTAATTAATTTGTTATTAACATATGTTACTGTAGCATTACATTGTCAAATCATAGCCTAATTAGTTTAATAGATTCGTCTAATAAATTAGTCTAAAATTATGCAATTAATTTTATAATTAATCTATATTTAATACTCTCAATTAGTGTCAAACATCCCATATGACGAGGACTATGAGCGGGAAACCAAACACTAGCTGAATTGCCCGATCTCTAATGACCAATTTGTGTATACTCCTATTAGGTAGCGTGCCCGTGCGTTGCTACAGGATAGCTAATAATTTGTACTAAAAACACACGGATCGCACGATAAAATAACAATATTGTAAAAATTAAATATCAACATTAAAGTGACAGTTAATCCAAAAGCAAAGTATGTGAAATTAACAGTCACGGAGAGCGCGGCGTCATAGGCTTACAAACTCTATTTTATAGACATTTCCGTGATGCGCCTAAGATAATATTTTATATCAGCAGGAAGAAATCTCCGATATACATTTCTTTCGTGCGCCAATAAATTCACGAATAAGTTTCGCCGCATCTCCATACCATCCTATACACATGCTCGAGTATATATGTCAATATTAGTGTCTGTCGTATGGGTAATACTGCGTCTCTTGAAACATCTTTCACAAAAACTTAAAACAAAGTGCTATACTCACCGTATAAATATGTGTGGCTTTTAGTCTACTCCACGTAGACATATACTGTAGAATAAGATATCCACTTAAGTGTCTGTGGCAAGATTCACGATCAGCTATATATAGAAATAGTTAAATCCTAGGTATTATTATTGCAAACCATAATGACTCTGAGTTAGTTATCCATCTATGTCAGCTGCAATGTTGCCTTCCCGTCTGAATTTTCATTCGAAGACATCCTCATTCCATCTAGGAATATATGCGTCCGTGTACTGCAAAGTAAATCTAAGAGTGTACTTGGCATACATACATCTTGGTGTGTGTCTTTTAAGCGGTACAAGAAATTGAGGTCGCCCAAAGGCGATCGTGCTCATGCTCGCGTCAGGTCGCGCCTCCGGATCTCATCTTCGTGGCGGGAGCCGAGGAGGTGACCAACGATGGGATAGAAGCGGATACACGTGCTTCTTCTGATCGACGCAGGCGAGGTTTTGTCATTGTTTCACGAAGACGCCGCCAAAGCGTCATCGGTTAAGACGCCTGCCTCTCTTCCCTTCCCTTCCCCGACGCACGAACGATGAACGGCAAGCGAGGAACGACGAGGTCGACGGCACGGGGAGAGGAGGCGACGGCGTGGGCGAGAGAGGGATCGCGAGCCTCCAATTTGGAGTCCGCTGTATCTTGAGCGTGATTAGAGGCGAATCTCTGACTATCGTGGGGCGAGCAGGGTATTTGCGGAGTAACATGCAAGGAAAATCAACAAGATTATCGCACGGGGGAGCCACCGCACGCGGGTCCGCATGCCAACTGTCGTGATTGTCGCATGGGGGAGCCAGCGCATGCGGGGTCGCGGGGATCGCAGGTGGCAGACGGACGAACCAAGGCAATTGTCGAAAAAAACGGTGTTTATCTTTTAGTCGTGAGAGATCTATACGGAAGCGAGACTCTACACGGCGGGACGACGTGCGTCGCCCAGCTTCGCTCTGCCCGGCGCTCGCACGCTCGCTCCCCCACGCGGTGCCACCCGCGTCTCATGCACTCGCCCCCGTCATCCGTCAATTCCCCATCCGGCGTTATTATTCCCTCTAATTGCCACTCCACGTGGGACCCATACGATCACATCTTATCATATGCCACCTGTGCAATAGATGGAATACGAGAGCCCGATCCAATCTTCGTCCGGCGTCGTGCGCCCCTCGCCCTCCGTGATCATCCGACGATCATGAGCGATTGAAAAAAGGAAATCCCTCAATCTCGCTATGTAATTGATCTTTTCCAATGTCAAAAAAAGATCCCTTCCCTTCCCAACGCAATAGGCACCACAAAGAAAACCCCGGCAATCAACGCAATGAAGCATATCAACTTTGCATGCGCGACAATCCCGACGAATGAAGGATGCAGTTGTTTTCTCCCTCTTCCTCTGGTTTTGCATACGCAGCATGCAAGGAAATCCACGGGACCACGGACAACAAGGGAAGTCAAATCATCAATTGCCAATTAAACGTAGTCACGGAGACGACTTCCTCCGCGCGACTTGGCCCGGCAAAACTGCACGCGCTCCGTTCACGCGGGTCCGCATGCCTAACTGTCGTGATTGTCGCACGGGGAGCCAGCGCATGCGGGGTCGCCGTGATTGCAGGTGGTAGACGAACGCACCAATGTAATTGTCGTACCAAAATGATGTTCACCTTTTTAGTTGTGAGGGATAGTAAACACGATCTGTCCATTTTGACCATTCTCGCACCAAATCCAGGTCAAACCCAGGCGATTAGTTTCCAGTCCCATTCAAAGCTCCCCGTCTTCCTCCTTGCTCCTACTCCGGGCTGCCACGCTGCGCCGGCCGGCACGAGGTGTTCGACGAGTCGCTGCACCCCGACCGGCCACCACGGCGCGTGCCGGAAGCCGCGCCGCGGCGGCGGCGGCCATGGGCGCCGCGGCCTTCGAGTTCGAGTACAAGAGGTTCGTTAAGTACCATACCGTACTCATGTGTCTTCTCCAATTGAAATCCATGCAGGAGGGAGGGCAGAAGCGCGCCCGGGCGTGCGCGACATCGTCGTGCCGCGCGCCACGTGCTCCGCGCTCTAGCGTCGACGCAAAATGACTTTTTTTCTTTCTTTCTTCTTTCGGTCTCCTCGCCGTCCCCAATCTGCGCTGCCGCTTCTTCTTCTTCTTCTCCAATTCAATTCAATTCCTCTTCATCGCCTCGCGCCTGGGCGGGCATCTCTCGGGCGCCGCGGCAGGAGCAGGGGGTGCGGTGCAGTTAACGCCAGCGCGCGTGGCTCCACCCGGTCTTGCCGCGATCCGTTGCAATCCTGATTCCCTTCCTCTCCAGAATTCCTCCTCCCATGTGCGTAGATCTCGGGGCCCGCGCTGGCTAGGGTTTATGGCTTTGGTCAATCCATGGCGTGCGGTGCCGAGGTCGCCCTGTCGCTTCTTCTTTAATGCGCGCTGATCCCCATGGACGCCGAGTCCCCACGGTAAATCCCACAAAAAGGCGGGTCTCCTTTGCCCATTTCGCCTGCCTCCTCTTCTCTCCTATCGTCTCTTGTTCGGCTCCTTGTTTTCGTATTGCCTGGGGGGGCTAATGCCGTTGTTGGGGTTGCCTCCGGGAGCTGTGGTTGATGGTCCTGAGGTTTGGCGCAGGGACGCTTATGGATTCGCGGTGCGGCCACAGCATGTGCAGCGTTTCCGCGAGTACGCCAAGATTTACAAGGTAGTAATTTACTTTGCCGTACTGGAAATGTTATGTTCATTGTCTGTTTATTGGAAAGTTTTGATTTGCTTTTGGAGGGTTGTTTGTTAGGAAGAGGAGGAGGAGAGGGCGCACAGATGGAGGGACTTCTTGGACAGGTTGGCTGAGTCAGCCAATGTGCCCGCCACACCCAGCGTTTCACCATATGCAGCTGCCAGGGATGGTGCTGCAGGAGCAGGACAGGCGCAAGAGAATAACAACATCGGAATACATTGTGTTGATGATGAACAAGAGGAGGGAGCTGAGAATGCAAAAGATAACAATAAATTGGAAAACCCGAAGGAAGCTGATACCAGTGGTGAATCACGAGAAGCAAATGGTAAGTCAGAAGATCTGAAAGATGTAACTGACAACTTGGATGAAGTGAAAGAGGAGACTAGTTGTAGCTCTACGGAAGCAATCAAAGCCTTAGAGGGCTTGATGGAAGCAAATGGGGACATTGAAGAATTAAAAGATTTGAATGGAAGCTCAGAAGAATTGAAAGGAGAGAGTAATGGCAACTTGGACAAGCTGGTAGAGCTCTTCTTGGATAAGGGGTTGTTGGATGAACTGAAGCCCATAAAAGTTGAGTCCCGGCGGCGGGTACGGGCAGCGCTTAGCATCATTGACAAAATGATGAGCTCTCGGGTAGTGAAGGGTGGTAATGGTGCAAATGATACTCATGGAAAGGATGGAGCACAGCTTGCTTCTATTGAAGAGGAAGGAAGGACTGCAGAAGTGAGTCATGACGGAGATCCAGCTGAGGTTGATGAGTCTTGTGTTGCAGAGAAGGTTGAACTTGGACAGGAAACACCTGATGATTCTACGGGTACTGCTTTGGAGGGAGGCAATGATGGGTCTTATTTTCCTTGGAGGGAGGAGCTTGAGAGCTTGGTTCGTGGAGGCGTGCCAATGGCTCTTAGAGGAGAGGTGCAACTGCAACCAGTTCTGCAAATCGCTGCTGTCTGCTTAGTGTGTGAGATTTGATGCCTTTATGCTCACATATTGTTGACTTCCCTGCAGATATGGCAAGCATTTGTGGGTGTCGGTGCTCGGAGGATTACTGGGTACTACAACAAATTGCTTGATGACAGGACTGCGACATTCGATGAAAAGGACCTCATTGACCCAGTGGTCAACGAACAGAGAAGTGCACCGAGAAAAGTTACACAGCCTGAGAAGTGGAAAGGACAGATAGAGAAGGTTGTTTTCTGCAACAGTTTGAATTTAGAGGAAGCATACCATGGTTGACAAGCTCTAGTGTTTCTATACACTTGATTTCTGTTTTTGTTACAGGATTTACCACGAACATTTCCAGGACACCCTGCATTAGATGAGGATGGGAGGAATGCTTTGAGGCGGTTATTAACCGCATATGCAAGGCATAATCCATCAGTTGGGTACTGCCAGGTAAATTGATGCCAATTGAAGGAATTTTGTTTTTTTTTTTCATCTAGCCTCTTGTTAGCTTAATTGTATAGAACGAGATAGATTGTAATCCTAATTGGTGCATGCAAACTATGAAAGGTCATGGTTCTCATGTTCAGTTGAGCATTTGAGCAAAATTGTAATGTATGGCCTTAAATGTTGAGAGATCCATTATAAGCTATGAGCCTATGATAAGCGATACATTTTCAATCATTAGTTCTGGACTTCTGTTGAGCAAAATATTTCTTACACCATATACCTATGGTAACTTCAGAAGGGATTTGACATAATGTAAAATCAGTGAAGTCTATCTCCACATAAAGAATTTCATTGTAGCCATCTTTATCAGGTCAGAAAAACCACCACATATACTATGAAGTTTATAGCTATATTTATCTTGCCTTCAACATGCCTCACACTTGAAGAGTTTAAACCGATTTCTGAAATAACCACTATCACCAAAGTTTATAGGTATATTTATCTTCACTTGTTTTCTCTTGCAGGCCATGAACTTCTTTGCTGGGCTATTTTTGCTTTTCATGCCTGAAGAAAATGCATTTTGGTATGTCTTCATTAAATGCACCTTGTATATGGAAAGAAAAAAAAAGACTCAATGGCCTTTTTTTAGTGCAAGACTGTATGGCTTCTCCATTTTCACTTGCTTTTGAATTTCAGGGCTTTAGTAGGGGTTATTGATGATTATTTTATGGATACTACACTGAAGAAATGATTGAATCTCAGGTACTTTTGAATTTGTGGATCTTGATGCATGCACTCTTTTCCATGGAACATTTGAACTATGTTGCTGCTCAATACACAGGTTGACCAACTCGTCCTTGAGGAGGTTGTACGAGAAAGGTTCCCTAAATTGGGTATGTTTTCCAATTATATCACTATATTCGTCTTTGTGATGTTTAATTCTTTGTTAAAAAATCACACATATGTTTGTGTCACTATTGCTTAATATTTTGAAGGCACTGTATGTCAAAGTATCTACACTTAATGTTTCTTCCATTGAAGGTTCTTGTTATGGTTATTACTTGGCACTTACATCAATTGCAATTTTCTTCAGCCAAACATATGGATTTCTTGGGAGTTCAAGTGGGATGGGTGACTGGACCATGGTTTCTTTCAATTTTCATCAATATGCTTCCATGGGAAAGTGGTCAGGTTTTATACAGTGTCTTGGTTCTTTCATTATGATATGTGCTATTACAATATTTTTGCTGGTAGTTCACTGCTGTAAGATTGATTAACCCCCTTCTGGTGGTTGACTAACATTTAAATCTCACTATCAGCATATGGAAAATCTTCTTATGTCTTTGTAGGTTACATATTCTTTTACCATATGTGTGCTATTGATATCTAAGTAAGACTTTACCTCTCTTGTAGTACTTCGCGTTTGGGATGTCATCCTTTTTGAAGGAAATCGTACAATGTTGTTCAGGACGACGCTTGCTTTGCTGGATTTATATGGTATTAGTTATCCCTTCTTAGCCTGTTTATTAACATCCGGAAAATGTTAAAATTTCTTTTATTTGTTTTTTTTACCAATTTTGATGTGCAACCAACATTGTTGTGTTGTCTTCATACATTAATTTGCAGGGCCTGCACTGGTGACCACAAAAGATGCCGGAGATGCAATTACACTACTGCAGTCTCTTGCTGGATCTACTTTTGACAGCAGCCAGCTTGTATTGACAGCTTGTATGGGCTTCCAATCAGTTAGAGAAATGGGATTGAAAGAGTTAAGGAAAAAGCACAGGCCTGAAATTTTAACTGCAATGGAGGAAAGATCAAAAAACCGTGGCTCCTGGAAAGATAAGAAGGGGTTAGCAACCAAACTTTATAGCTTTAAACATGATCCCTCATTCGTGTGCTCACCAGTTAAGTCCAAGGAAGGGCTAGATGGTTCAAAGGTGAATGGAGAGATTGGGCCAGCAAATCTTGAGACCTATCTTAGTACTAGTTCTATACTGGATAATGATTTGGATCAGGGTGTTGATCTTCAAGATCAGGTAACAACTCCTGTGATAGTATTTATCTTTTGGATATGCTATTTCATTTCTGTGAACAATATGAAAAGTATCATATTTTTTCTTTGTGTTCAACTGTATTATTTAAACTCCTGGTTAAAAATCTGCTGATTCCTAATGGTTCCATGTCAATATCACAATCTTTTATTTTGTAAAACTGAATGGTTCTGTTCATAATGTTCATATTTCTAGCTTAGAATTATATCTTGACATATCTTTACAAAATTACAACCCAAGTATTTGAAGACTACTTTCTTATGCATATGTGATGAATTTTACATGTGCAATGCTGCAATATTCATACAGGTGTCATGGCTAAAGATTGAACTATGCAAGCTGCTTGAGGAGAAAAGATCAGCTGATCTCAGGTTTGGGTTATATTTTTTCTTGAATACACAGGAGTTTCATTAAAGAAGAAAAGGAACCAATTACAAACCCCACACCACATCACCCCACTGGACATAATTAGCGTGCCAGTAAAACAAAGGACAACGACCCAACCTAGAGAAAACACCACAAAAACTATACAAAAAGTCGAGACTGGCTCAAAGAGATGCTTTGCACCAGCCGCACACCACATTGTTGTGTTTTCCCTGATGTCTCTCCCCGACAACCCGCACAACTAGGTTTGCATTAGGGGACACCGAGTTCAAGATGCAATCTTGCAATGTTTCCAAATTTCCCAAGTGGCAAGAATGATCTAAGTGTTCAAATCTTTCCTGAACTGTTTGTCAACCTGTTTGAGGGATCCACTCCATCATCCTGAGAATCTGCCAACGTCAGGAATTGGAGCCAAGAAAGGAAACCCACACGCTGGAGGGTGACACCACCAGAGGAAATGGGAAGGTGCTGCATATTTTTTTTCCTCCTAATCACAAAGAGGGGAGTGAGGTGTGGTGCGGGAGACCTCACTTAGGAAGTCTATCAGCCGTACAACAATGGTTCAGAAGAGCCAGACACAAGAAAAATTTGCAGCGCAATGGAACCCAAGATTTCCAAATCCTTTCCCAAAGGGCAAAATGAATAGTGCCCACAAAAAAATGGTTTGTTGGCGGATTTCCATGTGTATGTACCTGAGCTGGTCAACTTCCATGTATGCTGGTCCTGCACATCAGGGTGCAGAACTATTTCTTCCACTCATGGAAGTTGACCAACTTCCATGACCCTGACCGTTAGAGCACCTTTGATGTCTGTCACCCAAGGCCTATTTTCTAGTCCCTGAGCAACAGTTCTTTGATTGATCACTCGCTTGGGAACTAGGGCAGTTAAGTGGGAAGCCAACTCAGCAATGTACGGCCATGTAACCTATGATCATACTAGAATAGTGTCTGTCCCATTAGTCCATTACTGACCAAGGTTAGTGGCCATAGAGAACAGAGCACAGGCATTGGAATGAACATGCACCTGGAGTCAATACCAGGGCCTACTTGGGTCTAGCAACTTATGCTCAATATAAGTATTCAGCATTTCAGCTCTAGATACAGTAACATAAACAATTGTACTTGGTTGAGCAGATTTAACATATCAACAATTACACTTGTCGGACCAAAACACCCCTACCCTAGGGCTAGATTCCAAGCATATTCCCTGCATACTAGGGGCTTTTTGGTCCTTTCAGTACATGCTTACACCGGAATCCGATTCGGATTTGACTTAGACAAGTGGCACCTTCCTCCATTTCGTGTGTTTCTCCGGAATGTTGCACCTTCACGAGTGCAGTGGGGTTCGGGCATCCGCTCCTCTTTCCCATTGTGTTGCCATTTTGAACTGCCCAAGGGTTTTGTGTTCTCCTTCTGGGACCTGCTGACGGCGCACCCAGGATGCCTTTTTCAGGGCTCCTCTGAAGATGACTTTGCGCTTCCGCCAAGGCATCATTTCGGAAACCTCCTCGGGTGAAATTTGGGAGCAACCTTCGGGGTTTCTGCGAGAACAAATACCTTCGGTCCTGGGGGCTATCATTCTTGGCTCCCCCCCCAGTAGTTTTGTAGCCTAGAGATAGTGTAGCTTTGATTGCCTCTATGTTTCCACAGGCGCGTATGTAATTTTGACAAGTCGGAGTGGTGTGGTGTGTGTTGTAAGGGGTCTCTTTCCCCCCTTTTTTCTTCTTAACATAATGGAGCGCAGTTCTCCTGTCGAGAAAAAAAGGTTAAAAACATGCGAACAGAGGGGGACCCCACAGGGGATACGGTCCCCCAACACTTCACATATGGAGGCACCACCTCTTTTTATAACCTAAAGGGCTGCTGCTGTCACAGAGTCACAGTGCATGCTACTACAGTGCAACTGGCAACAGCTAAGTCTATTACTACTATTGAAATGGAGGCTGTTCCATGAATCTGGACAGTGATTGTCCTCATCATCTAGTTAAAACTATTCGCAAGTTGAATTGCGACTTAATTTGTGCTAATATTTCTTTATATTTTCAAGGGGTGAGGAATTGGAAACTGCTTTGATGGAGATGGTCGAGCATGACAACAGACGTGTGTTGAGTGCTAAGGTATGATGCTAACTGGAATCACTTTTTCTGGTACCTCTCAGCATATGGTTTCAAGAAAGTTGAATCTCCCAATAGGCCAGTACTATTATATACGCTTCTGAGTTCTTTCTTAACTAACTAGTACTTCAAGAATATTAAAATACTACTTTAGTCAATGAATTACCCCTTTGCCTATTTATTTTCTTCATGCACCATTGACCTGGAAAACATTCACAGGTTGAGAAGCTGGAAGCAGAGGTATATGAACTGCGAAAAGCTTTTTCAGACAAGCAAGAGCAAGAGCAAGTAATGCTTCAGGTGTTGTCTTACTGCATATATTCTGTGGCTATAATCTTTGGGTCTTAAGGATCATATTACCTGGTCCTCCAAAGTCCATTATACATCTGATTGTCTAAAAATATCCACACATTAACTACCTCTATAGATCTTGTTAAGAATGGAGCAAGAACAGAAAGTGGCAGAAGATGCCCGCATAGCCGCTGAGCGAGATGCTGCTGAACAAAAACATGCTGCTCACTTGCTCCAGGTTAACTCTTGGAAAAACTTCTGCAAGCAGTTTTTTGAAAGTGCCACTTTCTTGTTGACATGCACAGTTCTTATGTCTAAGAAGGCTGATGCCTATTTTTTCGTACCTTCTATACGCAGGAGAAGTATGAAGCAGCAATGGCATCACTTTCACAAATGGAGAAAAGAGCTGTAATGGCAGAAACAATGCTGGAAGCTACAAAGCAATACCAGGCTGGGCAGGTTAAAGCCAACCAATCTTTCACTTCAAGGTATGTTTGTTTTGGCTACATTTAACTTCCACTTTCCAAGCATCTAGATCACTTACGAGCTATTATTGGAAGTCTATAACTTCACACTCGGCATGACTACTTTTCATGTGTCCCGCTAACTATTGCTTGAGTTGGTTTCTTTTCCTCTCCAATTATTTTATTTTTCATGTGTCCCGCTATCATTTGATTGATATTTTTACTGTTAATTTAAGAAGCTTAAACTCTAACTTCATACTACAATACTTCATTTACTTGAAATCTTCTGTAGTTCACCTCGCGCGGACCATGTTCTTGGGAAGATACATCAAGAACCAAACCAAGATGCACCTAACCGGAGAATTGGCCTGCTTTCTAGGGGACTTGGATGGCTTGACAAGAGCAAGGTATGCCAATAAAATCAAAATTTTACCAAAAATAACTCTCTGAGTTCATGACTTTTGGTACCAGGCCCTACATGTCATTATCAGAGCCCTTGTTCCTTATTAGCTTTTTTACTTCTATGTTGTTTTGTTATTCCTAAAATATTTTATGTGCTTGGACATAATGAGTGATGTGTCCCTGCTCAACCAAGAGTCTCTTTTTATAGAATATTTGAAAAAGGTAACTCGAAGGAACGCTGATCTTATACCACGTTTGCATGGACAGCATATAAAAAATGAATGGTCTCATTGATCTAGAAAGATTTTACAAAGTTGAGGTGCAGTGGGTTCACTATCTTTGAATTGCTTTTAGCAGGGAAGGCAGAATTCCACTGAAACATCTGGAGGCTAAACTCATCTAGAGTCCAGGATGAAGTCATAGCTCCCAACAAGATCTGGATTGTTCATTAATGCTTGGATTGCCTGATCACCATAAGAACGTGTTGAAATCAGCAGTGATGTTTTCTCGTGAAGATTCAGCTGGTATTTTCCATGAAGTTTTGCAGGAAGTGTATCTTGTATCATATTGAGTTCAGTTGTCAGATAAAGTTTTGTTGGTAGGTCAGAAAGGCTGCTGCAAGTCATCGGTGTAAATTTTCTTTTATTAATTTCATTAAGATTGTCAATAGTTAGGTGTTCCAGGTAGGAGAAAGAGAAGAACACAACTTCCTATACACATGAAAAGAAGAAAAACTTGTGTTAGATTAGTTACAGTATCATGGAGTTGTTCTGGAGAAGAGCATGCTTTATCTCTCTTCAGAAATGTCAAAACCACTGAAGAGATGATCTCTCTGTATTTTTGTTCTTTTGATACGTGTGGCTCTGACATTCTTGACACTTGACAGTTGACATGTTTGATGTACGAAAATTATTGTCAAAAGGATCTGATTGCGAATCCAACAGCGGAAACTCCACTGTAGCGAGGCATTTTGGAAAGCTAATTATCTTCAGTTCCTCACAAGTAAACCTGGAAGTGGATTGGGATAATCCAAAGTATAAATGGTCTTAACATACTATGGATTTTACTGGATGAATGTTATTTGGATGTGGATATACAAGACCACAATACCCAAATTCAACGGATTGGATTGGATAAAAAGACCCCCGGATATCCCAAAATCCGTTGGACCTCTTCCTGACGGTGGCGTCTTCACCAGGCAGCCGGTGAGTGTTCAGGTAGATTTCAACACGCACGCTTGGGGCGAGGGCCCGCCTAGCCGCTCGTCAACGACGGCCTCGCCTAGCTGCTTGAACGACGCCACCGGCCTTCTATCACCGCCGATTCGGAGATCAGCTTGCTGTACCAGAAGGCAAATGCCGTGGCCAACCTCCCCAACTACCCGGCGGCGCATTCACGGACACGGATACACTGGCATAACAGCCAGGCGCGCGCGGACCGCCGGCCTCGCTGCAGCCGCGTGTGGGTAGGCGGCGCGCCGCAATGGGGTGGCTCGTTCTCCGGTGCGGGTCTGGCGGGGCAAGGCAGCTTGCGTGCGCGCGGGGCGACGAGCTCGCGGCGCGCCGCGGGGTCGTGGGAGACCTGATCGGAGTGCGGCGGCAGAGGAGGCGGACACTCGGCGGCGCTGAAGATGGATGGGCGGCGGGCCTCCCATCGGTGGTAGCACGTCCATCAGCGGCGCACGGTGAGTCGCAGCTCCTCGGCCGGACCGAGCAGCGTGAGCTTGCCCGCTGATGCAGCGCTCATGGAAGTCTGTATTTGGACGAATGGACTGGACTGGATTTACAGGGTAGTGGACTGGACTGGATTGGATATTGCATGCATGACTGTGGTTTGGATTGGATACGTTCTCATTTTAATTGGGTTTCCTTTGGACTGGATTGATTGGACGTGGATGTTAATCCACTTCCAGGTATACTCACAAGGTTATTGAAAAATGATTTTGGTAAAAGCATGCCGTGTTCCCTCTCAACCTGTGCAGCGTCATGCGGCATGCCCGTAAACACCGTGTTTCTGTCAACACAACACGACGAATGTCTTGCCACTTTGGTGAAGTAGATGAACTGCCCAACATAGACTGAAGTGAAAGATCAGTTGGAGTGTTGGACAATCATACTGGACATGGCAGAGGCAGTGTCACTGGGAACTTGGTACAGTGCCACGTTCCTCCACCTGTTTCAGGAATGCGGGAACAATCCAGTCTGTGCAGTGAAAAAAACTGTCTCAAAGAGCGTTCCTCGATCCCTGTTCCACGACCCAATCATCCTACAACTTTGTGACCAAGTTAATTAAACACTCGACACCTGAGATCAGAGATAACTTCCTTGGACACAATGTAAATCAAACCCTTTTAGGAGCAGCATCAACAGCAAAAGTAAGGGAAACAAGCCATCGTCATCAATACAACATGCAAACAAAGCGTCTGATAAGACTAAGCCACAACAAACACAACAACAGTTTACAACGGTTGTCTACAAACTAAGGGGGAAAAAATCTTCATCATGACCATGTACTTCCCCGCAATTCAACCGTATCATTTGAACAGGCATTGCAACTTTCTTGCTCCAAGACAGGCAGTAACTGACCATCACCACAAAATGCAGCAACAGAAGAACACCATTGTTTTGCTAAGCACTGGATTCCTCAGTTTCTTTCTCCCTGATCGTCGCTCTGGTGGTTCCGATCAGAGCTAGTTCTTGTTGGTGTGCTGCGTCCAGGGTTCCGATCAGAGCTAGTTCTTGTTGGTGTGCTGCGTCCGCCACGGTCCAACCGCCTTCTGTTTCTGACTTCTGACATCACAGTGAGAGAGGCGACAACATCTCGCATGCTTGGTCTCATATTGGGTGATTCACTGATACAGCGTGAAACAACAAAAAAGGCATGCTCCAAACAAGGCTGGGAGCACTGACCCCGCAGTGCCGGATCTACCAGAATGTCCAGTTCCCGTCTGCGGAGAAAGTTGAGAGCCTGAAACCATACAGTAAAAGAAAGGTCATGGCATGTAATTGCAAAAGAATAATGCATACATCTGTTGAATGACATGTAAAACCTGAACCTTTGTTTTAAGTAGCAGTTTTGCTATATCGTACCCGGACGAAAAAACTTCCCTCTTATACCAGATTTTTTTTGGCATGTTATAAAAATATTCGGATGTTTTAGAATAGTTCAGCACCTAGAATCCTAGATTAAAGGTGTGGTAAGAATTTAATCATTCCTTACCGATGTCTGAATTTGTAGTCATACCAATTCTATCTAGAAATCACACCAAAATAATCACCGTCTTGTGCAAGTCAAGTGTAAATCCAACATAAACTGACATAAACTAAAATTGGAGTGAGGGGGACAAGATTTTCACCCGAATCTTCGTTTTATTCCCTTCCAGCTTCCATGCACGATATTTAGGAAGAAGAAAGGGAAAGAAAAGAAAAGCAAAATAAAAGGTGCGAAAAGAAAACTTTGACCCAAGTTTATTCAGGTATGGAAGAGAAGACCTCTCCTGATCCTCGTCCTGGTTTTTATTTTTTTATTTTAATCTAGAAGAAATACACATCCAAATTCTCCTACGAGGACTAAAACTTGGTTAAGGCATACAACTATGCCCACGACCAACTCAGCTAGACTTAAGTTTCTTGTCTCTACAACGATGACATGAAGGTGATAGAAGAAGCACATAACAGGTTTGATATATTTTTTTAATGAAAAGAACAAGTTTGATATGATCAAATGGTTAAGAAACAAAATGAATAAAGACCATTTTTGGGCATCGAAGGAGGAAGAGCATGAGCTCACAGCTTATGAGCCTTTGAAATGAAGAGACTGAGATATTAAATAGGACGACATACTTTCCTCATGAGCATATTGGCAATTATACTAGCATTGAGGAGAAGCAAGTAAAGAATTTTATTTTAAAAAAAACAAAAACAGAAAGCTTACCCATGCGACAAGGTTTCGCTCTGATTCAGGGAGTCTTTCGTCTCTAGCCATTCTTCCGGTTAGAACCTCCAACATAACTACACCAAAGCTGTAAAAATCTGTCTTTACTGTCAATTTACCAGTCATTAAGTACTCTGGCGCACAATAACCAGGTGTACCCATAACTCTTGTTGAAACATGGGTATTGTCACCAGTTGGACCTAGCTTCGCCAAGCCGAAGTCAGACAGCTTCGGGTGGTACCCCGCTCCGAGCAAAATGTTTGCACATTTCACATCACGATTGATGACAGGAGGGGTGAGATTGTGATGCAAATGCTCAAGACCTTTAGCAGCACCAAGGAGTATCTTAATTCTTGTACTCCAGTCAAGAGGCTGCTGACCAGGGGGGAGATCTGGACAAAGCAAGGACCAACTCTGATTACACTAAATTCTTCTAATATATAGCCGAAAGAGAACGATATATATATATGTTAGGTTCGCAGCATACCATGGATGTGACTGTTCAGAGAACCCAAAGGCATATACTCATAAACTAAAATCCTCTGACCATGACTAGTGCAATATCCAACGAGCTTTACAAGATTTGGGTGGTGCACATTGCTCAAGATCAGAACTTCAGTGACGAATTCCCTATGCCCTTGTTGTCCCTAAAGATCAAGCCTCTTTATAGCCACCTCCTGTCCAGGCACCTTTCTAGAATTAGAATATCATACAAGAAATGAAAGCCAACAAATATATCTTACCCATCCTTTTTTCATGATAAATTAACGATACCATTCATCAGCATTCAGATACATAAAGAAAAAAAGTACACAAATCCTTTCTTGTAGGTGCTACTCTGATCATACTTAAGATCACTTCAGTTCATTCGACTAATGCACTAGTAATAACTATCATCGATTGACCAAATACATTGATCAACATTCAGCTGTAAAAAAAAAAAAAACAACAATCTTTTCTTGCACACACCAGTCACCATTTCAGTCTTCAGTTATACTCATCAAGATCAATCTAGTCTTTTTGAGCAACGAAATAGCAACAAAGAATTATATGATTTTAGCACACAAACATATCTGCAACCATCATTGAGCAGAGGCATGTGAACCAACCTGATTAGTGCTATCAAGAAAGCCCTTGTACACTTGGCCGAACCCACCCTGTCCCAGGAAACGGTCTACTTCGAAGCCATGTGTCGCTGCACAGACCTCATCATAGGTGAAACTCTTGAGACAAATGTGCCTCTCTGGACGTTGATCTGTGATGAAGTCATTATGAGGGGTCTCCACCATGACCACTGATTCTGCCATCTCTGTACAAACAAAACAAAAATTGACGAAGCATCAGACACACAAATAATGCAAATGTTGCCAATTATAAGGGGAGACCAAACTAATATTAATCAATTATATTAGTGTTCAGAAAAAAGCCCTCACATTCTTCAAAAGGTTCTAGAAATTACAAAATTAATCAGGGAAAAATGAATATGCATCTTTTGATTTTATGATTATCTAACGTTCTAGAATAAACAAGCTCAGAGGACATAAAAAATATTTAATCAGAAAAAAGAAAAAGAACATGTACAGTTGGATTTATGATGACCTAGCGGTCTAGAGTAAACAAAAGAAATCATGTCAAATGTACTAGATAAAATTGGTAAGAAAAAATTGTAAGTCTAATTGGGCTACCAAAATTATTGGATGTAAATACACAGGTAGATGAAATCAAAACTTCTACAAACTGCAACCCGACCAGTAACAACACGGCAATTGTACGACAACAAAGGACAAAATCCGGCAACATCAGCTCAGGCACAAATTGAGAGAGAAAATTGTATTAATGAACAATGAGCAATTAATATTAAGTGGGGGGGCACAAATTAACGTATGGGCAGCGAACTGATGACTAACTTCAAAAAAAAATCAAACTTTTCAACAGCATCTCCAGCAGCATCGGGTCGACACTAGAAGTTGAGTGGAAAAAGGATACATCAGACGATGAGAAATTCATTTGAAGTTTTTCTAGTGCATTGCTATTTGATGATGCCGTCGAGGATAAAACTGTGTTTTCACGGTTTGGGTTATTGATGCAACACGAACAATAACTAAATAAGTCATGGCCACGCTAAGAGATTTTGTTTCTTTAAATAGCCAAGGGAAATTAGACATGTAAAATGCAAAGGTACAAAAGATACATTATTTTTTGTATTAATTACCATTTTTAAAAAGAAAGGCAATACCTGAACGTATATAAGTGTTCAATTGGTTGTAACTAGAACTTTTATCCAAATTATTAAATGGGAGAAAAGCTCGACCAACTAACAAGAGTAAAAGTTTTTTATATTAAGATAAGAACAAATCCATAAAAAATACAATAAATAAATAGATAAACAAAGACTCCAATACATATAGAATAGTCATCGAAAGAGTCAGCGGTGAAGCAACGTTATAACTAGATTTTGTGGTGGTACTAAAAAGCAAAGGAACAACAAGGAATTTACTGGTGATAGATATATGGTTGTTTGTGCTGATAAATGCAATTGGATCAATAAGATATGACAATGAAACAAAAAAATATTTTAAGAAATCCAAATGTTATATAATAAAAATAAAAAAAAATAGCTACCCACACTATTATCGCAGGACTCCTTGCTAGTTAGCAAACATGAGAAGGCAAAAGCAAATTATTCCAAGAACACAACGAGATATAAGTGGTTCCTTGCTAAAAGCCTAAAACAAAGCGAAAACATGACAAAACAGTAGGAATTGTAGTTTATCCAAATAAACTGATGGCACCATTTTATGAAAAAGATACATAGAATTTGTGAGGTTAACCTCACCATGTCAACTATCAAGAACGCAACGCAAATAAAAAAAGGAGGAACTTATTATCATCTATAAGCCAGGAACCCGCGCTATCTGTTTGTGGCAGCACCGCAGCTGCAGCATCGTGTTCTGTTTCAACAAGGACCAGAACCAGCGTTTCTTCACGAAATTTATTGTTCGAGACCGCAAGAAATGAAGTAGAGTATCACGACCCCAAACAATGCAAACGACTCAAAAAGCCATCATCACGTGGAACAGCACAGCACCTTGCTCTTGATACAAATCTCAGTAGACACTAGGCAGCACCATTTAGCAACATAACAAACAAATAGTTAAGCACCAAAACCATTTGACCGAATTTGACCGACTGCACGAAACGAAGAATGAAACAAAAATGAAGGAATGGCAATCGAAGTAGCCAGTAACTATAGCGCACATCGATCGTACATGCACTCTTCTGCGTGGCGATGGGCTCCGGGACGCCGGGCGGGGCCGCGCGCGGGTGTTGGTGGTACGCTCGATCTTTAAGCATATGCTTGTACTCCTTCACCTCATCCTCAAGCGTACGCTCGATCATCGGGGCCGTGCTAAGGCGGAACAAACCAAAATGAAGGGAAGGAAAAATGGAAACGAAGAATCCACACACGCGCGACGACGATCACGCAGGAGCTAAAACCCTAGCAAACGCCCCCACAAACTTCGTGAAAAATTCGATGGACGGCCCCAAAACCAAGAAACCGCGCTCTGTGTCGTCCGTGCTAAGGGATCACCGAACTAGCAAGCCGCCGAACCGAAGAAACGCGCAAGAACTGGAGCCGCATTTCCGGGAGCAGGAGAGCGAGAACCCGGGACGACTGGGATGACAGGCTCGCTCGGAACGACGGTCGGCTCGACCTGCTCATCCTCCGGGTCCGGGATCTGCAACCTCTGCGTGGGCGCTATCCTCTCAATGCCTCCTCCCTCCAACGAGAAGCAGGAACCCATGGCCGCCGCCTCCTGAGTTGGTCCAGCGCGAGCGTTGAGACCGGGGAAGAAATAAAACGATTGGCGACCAGATAGCGCATTTTTCGAACAACCAAAACTAGGGTTTATCTAGAGACTAGAAAAAGGGCCCACCTGTGCTGCCGGTCCCACGACATGGATTTTCTATACATGTGCATATATGATTTATCACAACCAAGAAATAAAATGGATGGCGGAGCGAAAAAAACCAGACACCACACTTTTGAACAAGCAAGTACGGTTTGTCTAGAAACTAGACACGGGCGATCTGCGTGGCCTCGAGACGTGGATTTTCTATACACACATATATGTGCATATAGAATTTATTACGGTGATCCATTTAGTTTAGAGCTCTATGATAAAGCGGAGTATTAAGCAATTTGTCATATATAACGTACACAAAATATATTAATATATATATACCACAATATGTTATGTGAGTGTTATTTTAATGTAGCTGTCATGAGCAGTACTCCATGCTCGTGAAACCCAACATACGTTAATTAGGTAAATTCATTTCGGACCGTGCGTTGAAAGTGCCAATAGTGGATATATGTTATTAGTAGTTTATTTCTAGTAACCTATCTATATCTCTTTGACTGATTATCTTTTTTATGTTCATTTGTAACTTGCACACATCACGTTCTTCAGTCTTTTGAAATCTCCTAAAGATCTAAGACTACAAAGCTTGAACCCTAGACACCATGCTCATTCTTGTTATAGGCTAGGGTTGTTAAATCTCTGGTGTGGCCTATAGAAGGTCTATAAGTAGAAATAATAGACATGATTTTGTTTGGTGGTGTGTGGGGTGCGGGGGAAGGAGGCGCTAGAGATATTAGGGTTTGTTTAGAGAGGGATCTTTCTGTATTTTCTAGGCCCTAGGAGATGTGGATTCTCTATTCATGCATATATATGCTTGCAGAACTTATCACAACCATTCATTTAGTTTAAAGTGCTACGATAGATCGGAATATTAAGAAATTTGTCGTATATAATATACACAAAGTGTTTTAATATACCACATGGTTATGTAATGTTATGTGAGTGTTGAGTTTAAATAGATGTCGTGAGTGTTATTCCATGCTCGTGAATAACCGACATAAGTTAATTAGGTAAATTCGTTTCAGAACATGCACTAAAAGTGTCTATAGTGGATATATGTTATTATTAGTCTATTCTAGTAACCTATCTATCTCTTTTATTGTTTACCGTTTCATTCGTAACTTGTACATGTCATGTTCTTTAGTCATTCGGAACCTTCTCAAGATTTAAGACAACAAAGCTTGAACCTAGATGTCGAGCTTATTCTTGTTAGAGGCGAGGGTTATCAAGTCTTTGAAGTGGCCTATAGGCTTAGAAGGTTTATAGGTAGGCGACCGACCTAGCAATGGAGATGGACATGATTTTGTTTTGTGGTGTGTAGGGTGAGGGGTGAGGGGTGAGGGGTGAGGGATGAGGGAGGCGCCTAGCGATATTAAGTTTGGGCACATGGGGCCCACGAGTACTAGTAGAGAACAGACCTTTCATCCGATGCCAAAATAGGCTCTAGTCCCAGCATTTTTTGCGCCCGGGACTAGAGAGACCTTTAGTCCCGGTTGGTGTCTCCAACCGAGACTAAAGGTCCCTGCCCAACGGCTACTGCGCTCGGCACAGTGGCAGAGGACCTTTAGTCCCGGTTGGAGACACCAACCGAGACTAAAGGTGGACCTTTACTCACGGTTGGAGCCACCAACCAGGACTAAAAGTCCTCCAACCTTTAGTCCCGGTTGGTAACACCAACCGGGACTAAAGGTCCTCCGATGGGTTAGTTCAAAAGGGAAGTATCCCATCCATTGTTAGATGTGTTGTGTATGTGGGGTGGTAAGCTACGCGCGAGGCAATGCATGAGGTCTTGAGTTCGAATCTCACGGGACGCAGCAGTGGGAGGCATTATTTTTTTAAAGCTGTGAGGACCTTTAGTCCCGGTTGGTGTTATGCACCGGGACTACCTTTAGTCCCGGTTCTCGACCCGGGACTAAAGGGGGGTCCTTTAGTCCCAGATGCTTACTCCCGGGTGGGGAACCGGGACTAAAGGGGGTTCTCCACCGGGAGAAAAGCCCGTCCCTCCACTAGTGGAGGCTAAATGTGGTGGCTGAGGACAGTGACATAATGACATGAGGCAGGGGCTAACATGGAACTTATGGAGAGAGATTGTCATGCTGGAGGGAGGAGACAATATATCAACCTTCATATGTTGATTTGATAGACACAAAACATCTTCCATACTTATATATAGTACGCAATTTTATATAAAAAATTCCTGAAGTATACAAGATATAAAGTGCTAGGACTAACTATTTGAAGCAATTATTGTAGTGCATACAATTATTTGTCTACAATGCAGTAATATACACATGTATAATATTTTCGCGTAGTGCGATGTCTATCTTAGAGTATATGTCTTTTAGATTGAGTTGTGTAATCCACGTCTTTGTTTCTTTCTTTTTTTTCCGAGGAGAGGAGATAGGAGGAATAAAGAGAAAGGAGAAAGGGGATATAGGTGAAGTAGGTCATGATGACTTATACCACGTCTGTGCAACATAGTCCACCAGAGAGCTTGAAAGTGGTTTGCCACACCGCATGCTTGGTACATGAGCTCACCACCAACTTCCATTGTCACCTCTAGCACACATTTTGCTCGATTACCCCGTGCCAGAGATGCTACCGGAGCCATCCCAAGATGAAGTGTTGACAGCCTAAGCAACGCTCCACATGGTCCTCAACCCCTTGTCCCTGGATGACTTTGGATCCAAGCTTGAACTTGCCCTGACATCTGCTTGTTCCACCAGTGGTGTCTCCTCTATGAACTTTTTGTGAAGTAGCCTCTGGTATAGTAGTAACATTGCTTTAGTTGTACTTCTATATCCTCTAGTTTTGATTATCTATGGAGTCCCTTACCGCAAAGCGTGGAGAGACCATGCCTTTAGGTGGTCGAGTTTTTTTTTCTATAATAAAGATTCTTTTTTCAAATAGGGAATAATCTGTGACAAATTTATTTATAGAAGAAAGTCAAAAACACAATGGAGGGAGATTATTAGCTTAAGGCCGGACTAGGACCAGCTAGGCTAGAGAGCACTAGCCACTAGGGCTAGAAGTGTTGCATGGAGGATAATGTGGGGGTGATCGACGGCGGGGAATGCGGAGACTGTGGTCGCCTCGTCACTGTCACAACACCGAGTGATCCAAGCTTCCAGCGCCACATGTTTCCATGGGCAGGCCCGCATGGTCGGCATGGACCACTCTGATTACGTGGGCTCGCTGGACGGGCTACATGGGCTAGTCGTGCGGGTCGATCCAGCGGGTTAGCTGCAAAGCCCACCCCGCCCCACTTGCCCCTGCCCGGCTCGTGGTCTTGGCCTCGTGGGCGCTTGCCTGCTCCTCTGGTTTTGTCGAACCCCTTTGCCGCCGCCGCGGCAGTCTTTGCTTTTCCGGTGAAAGGTTTTTGCTTAGGGGACCATGGAGGAGTACGGAGGGGGAGGGGGAGACCTCCTGAGCGAGGCGATGGGATCTGCGGCGCGGGTGGTGGTGGTAGAGGATTGCGTGGAGGCACCCGGGGCCTTCGTCCTCCACCTCCTCCTCAAGCGTGCGCTCGCCAGCGGCGGCGCGGCTGCCTTCCTCGCCCTCGCGCAGCCCTTCTCCTATTACGACCGTGTCCTGCGCAAGATGGTACGGCTCGCCCCCTCTTCACCTTACTGGCATTTCGTCGAACACGTTTCCACTGCTACAATAGTGTGCATATTGTGTGTCTGCTTAACTGCTCAGTGCATCTTTGTCCATGTCATAATGAGTATGGTCAACTAGGTATTTGAGTAGACCCAAATTGGTAGGACCATAGTTGATCTGGCTTTAAAAGAATGGGATTTCTAGGCTCTTATTCATATGCGTTATTGGTCACGTGTGTAATCAGGCATCTTACACCAACATTTTGAACTGTTAGATTCTTGGTGTGTGATGCGATATTATTTGATTAGATTTATAAATGATCCTCATTCTTCCTATGGCTTTTGGAATTGTTGTCAAGTTGCCTCTTGATATTAGCAGTGCATGCTAAATAGCCTAAATTTCTGCCACCTCCTATTGTGCACGGTGGTGTTCAAAACCAGTGCGAGGTGGTATAATTTTCAGTTGCTAGTTCTGTTCATTTGCTAGCGGTAATAGCTCATGTGCTGGCTGAGTCATGCAATATAGACTATAGTGAGCTGAGGTGCTTGCTTTTGTAAAACTCTAATAAAATGCACAAGTTTTAGAGGTGTTGGCAGTTCGGCACAATGGGGTTTGGGACTGCTTCCAAGAGATTATTCTAATTTGTTCATTCTATCGGAAACTGCATGCTGGATTTCTCTAGTTAAAATCTACACAGTTGCATTACATATTTCTTTTGGTCTTTGGAAATTTGTCAGGGTTGTAACCTTTCCCTGCATAGGAGGAACGAGAGGCTTCATTTCTTTGAATTGCTAGGATTCCCAGGCAAGGCATCATTTTATTACCGTGTGTGTTTCCATATAATGTTGGATGATTCCTAAATAGGGAGGCGCCATTCATTATGTTTCTTTACTGCAGGTGGAGCAAGGGAAGGCACCATTGCTGATAGCTTTGTTCGATTGTACAATGAAATTCAAAGACTGGTTGAGGCAAACAGGGCTGGAGAAAATGCAGGCCAGTTCACCGTCGTTATAGATGATGCTTCCCTATTGGAAGTTGTGGCCCTTGGTTCTGTAAACGATGTGCTGGATTTCTTGCACTATTGTTTCGCGCTCACGTCTGAGATGGTAAAATATTGATCAATCAAACATTACAGTACTGCTGCTGATTGTTAAGTCATTGGTCATGTCTTTTACACTTTATCATGTCCTGACAGAATTGCTCGCTAGTGGTCCTCATCCACGAGGATATATATGCAGACGAGGAGAACATGGGTCTCCTTTTACATCTGCGCTACATTGCTGATCTTGTGATTAAAGCAGCACCTTTGAGCACTGGTTTGGCTGCTGATGTTCATGGACAGGTTAGGCTCCTGATCCTCCATATTTGTTTAAAGTTTGAGTTTTACCATGATGGCTTAGTTGGATTCGCTGACCTGGTAGTTCGATGAACTTACATTATTTGATCTTATTTTGATGTTTTGCAACTTTCATTTTACCCTTGATAAATCTTTTCTGAAGCGGTTGAAATGTTTGATGTTTCTGCAGCTGTCGGTGGTGAACAAGGGTACATTCAGCGAGCAAAGGGCAAAAGCACAGAAAGTTTGGAACTTCCATTTCAAAGGGAAGGAAAACGGTGCTGACTTCTTCTATCCAGGGACTAGACATTAGGGAGTACTTGTATTACAGTAGAAACGACTTTGGTTGGCATAACGGGTGCTGCTATGCTTTGTGTACCGTCTGCTAAACACAGCATTTCAGTAAAGTTCCGTCTCATCCTTTATTTCACAAATTTGCTTGCGTTCAAGTCATCATAGCTTGCAAAGCGTTCGTCACAGCCAAGTTCATTGAGCTTGATCTAGCACAAGAGACCTATTTTGCATCTCACGCTACAGTCACTTTTCGTTTTCAAGGAAACAGGAGAGGCAAACCCCTACTTGTGTTGATTTGGAACACGATCTTCGAATGAATGGATGAACTACTCCAGAATTCCAGCTCAATCCTGATATTAGCATGTATATAGTAATATAATAGCAATGACGCTGCTGGTTTGCTCCTCCTTAAGACACTTGGCCAAGAATATCTCTGCAAGGAAAATGAAGATTGCAAACCGCCAAGGCTCGAACATATATAAATATTATATGTTTGACTCCATAGCACTAGGGTGATAATCTTGAGTCGACCACAGAAATTGACAACTAGAGTCTTATTTATTGAGTACTCTAACGTTGGGAATCAATGGGTTACTATCAGCAATGGGAAGAACCACTTAAATCTCAGATCTGCCGATGAAGATGCGCAATGGGAAGAACCGCCTAATTCTCAGATCTGTCGACGAAGATGCCATGTTGTATTAGAAGGTCTGTGTCATCTTTCTGAACCTTACGCTGCTTGATCTTCTTGACCAGATTGTCGCACAAACTGTCCACGGACCCGTGGCCGCTGCTCAGCAAGCCTCTTCCTGCTTTGGTAGCGAACCTGAAAATAGGCAGACAAGGCCATCAGAAGATATCGGTCCAATGCACATTATTCAGGCCAGCAGTCAGAAAAATGAAGCGGCATCACCATAAAATCTTGTAAAAACTGCAGTCAGAATACAAAATTTTGAAAAGAAAAATAGTTTGAAACCAATACCAAATCTTGAAAAATTTAGCGCAACTAATGTCTTACTTTCAGAGACTTATTTCAGTATTCCTATGCTGGTACTGTCAATATTAAGACATAACTGGAAGTTTTTCTAAAAAAGACAAAAGGCATAGCTGGAAGTAGCATAAGCATTTTTATATCCTCGAAAGGCAGAGATTATTATCAATAATCACTTCTATATTTTCTGATAATAATTGTGCAAACCATTTGGATCCCTACTCTTTCTTGACATAGTGGAAGGCCCTTCAACACTCAAATACCTATTACTGATTTCAAGTCATAGCTACTACAACAGGCATGTAACTGAAAACAGGCTACCTTTTTACCGAAGTTCCGATCTTTCCGCTTCAGTCTGAATTTGTTCAATGCAGCTTCTCGTTGGGGGAACCGATTCTGATACACATCATTGCCACTCCCACTCCCACTTACAATGCCACCTCCAGCGATATTTTGGCTCATGGTACCATTAACACTCTCTATGTTTGGTCTTGCAATATTGGGGACAGCGCTCGTTCCATTCTTCCCATTATGACCAACTGAGACACCCCCATTCACACTGTAGTTTGCAGCATGTCCTTCAACAGGAGGATCAAACACATTTGACGAACCACACTGAACATCTGATGATCCACGGTCGATTGATGGCTGTTTCTGTGTCATAACATGGAGGTAATAATGCACGTGATGATGATGCTGGACGCAGCTTTGTGGAACCTCTGTTGGGTGGCTCATTTTCACTGCATTGGAAATTCCTTCATCAGCTTTGTCTTTCCCAACCAGATTAGCTGGTGCTGTTTGATTCTGTATAGTATGAAATGCTGAGGCATGCTGGGTAGATTTGATGGCTGATGGTGACGTTACTCTCTCCCTGTTAGCTGAAGGCTTTGCAACAACATTCTTTGTACTGGAGCCCACATCGTTGTTGCTACTGCCATTGGAGCCCTGCTTTATTGGAGCAGCATCTGAATTTGACTTCATCTTGCATGTAGAGTCCGTTTTCACAGCCTCAGAACTGTTATCTTGTGGTGAAGAGCTATCCCCACATCTTGCTCCACCTTGATTGGAAGCCACAGATGTATGGTACCTTGCAAAAATCATAACGAGTTAGCATGCAACTTACTGTTATGTTAATGACCTAGTAATGACACTGATATTATGTTTTGCACCTGGTGAATGCTGACTGATCTGATCTTTTCAGAATATTTCGCTCATCATGGATTTCGGCTGTAGCTCCATCTGTTCTCAATCTCTTCAAACCCAACTCATGGGGTGTCACCTCGATATAAGAATCATGATTCTTATCATTTCCATCGGGCATCTTGGAAGGGCCATCAGGTGCATCAACGGCCCGTACTGCTTGTTGGCCTTCTGTGTTTCTGGCTATTGAGCTAATCAAATCAGCAGTTTCAGTATTTGTTTCACTAGGTATGTCTGTACAATCATCTTCTGCCATCATTTTCTTTTTGGATTTGCATTGGGGCATGTGAGTCTCATGTCGTTTTTCTGTTGGATTAACAGATACGTCATTGAGAGATGATTGATATTCTGCACTTGAGTTCCTAGGAGCACCTATTTCTAAGTATCTTCCCATAGATTCATCTGTAAAAACATGGAATTTGGTTGAATGAGACAATAGTGGAAGTATGAACTGTGAAATGCTTCACTTCTATACAATGAATGCTGTGGAGCATATGATACCTTTATTCTCCTTATGTTTCTTGCCATTCCTTTTGTTTGCTGTCGGTAGCCACTTGTTACTGCATATCTCTGATTTGGGGTGAATTACTTGTGCACATGTACTATCAGGTGGATCTGCTAGTTGATCAGGAGACATAGGTTGTGGACTGTCAATCTCCACAGCACGCTTTGTCCATGAGCTCTGCATTTTAAAACAGATTGTGCACTCGATAATACATTTTTTTTTTTGACGGCACACTCGATAATACATTGACATAAAATAAAAACACTACACATAGAAAGAGTTATCAGACAATATATCACTTTTCTGAGAAAGAAAGATTGCCACCAAGTGAATCGTTTTGAATGAAAGCAATAAATAACTTTATTTTCCTACATCAACCATGGTATTACTATATGTAAATTGGTTATTTAATATCTTATATCCAGATATATCACAGAATAACTAACCTTTATGACCTAAATTGAGGTGATATGAATTTTGTTCGAAGTAGTATTCTACCACTAACCTTTATTACATATATATATATATATATATATATATATATATATATATATATATATATATATATATATATATATATATATATGGCTATCTATACATTCAAATTCAACTACATAATTATGTTAGATTAAAAAATTAACTATTAGGAACAATGAATGAACACATACTTGAGTACCACTGCCATTATCACTTCCATCCCTAGCATTGAGTCCAACACTAAAGTCGTCATCGTCGACGTCATCATTTTCTTCATCATCATGATTGCTGTCACTGTCGTTCTCATACTCGTCACCAGTATTTGGTTTGGCACACTTCTGTGTCTGGATGCCACTTTCACTTCCACTGCCACTGGACTGAGTACCAAAGAGGCAAATTCAACTCAGATAATCGCAAAGGAAACACAGAGTGAGGAGTCAAAGAAATCATGCCTCATGTTTCGTGGAAAAAAATCATGCCTCGGTTTTTCCCTTCCCCAGACCCCACTCATGTGGGAGCCTCCGGCACTGGGTCTGCCCTTTTTTTTTATGTTTCGTGGAAAAAAAAATATCCAGAAAAAGCTAGACCAAAAACAAACAGCTTACACTGTGGCATCGCCTCCAAACGTGCTGCCAAAGGTTCTTAAGCTCATTCTTACGTAATGGCTTTACCAAGAAGTCAACCGCTCCCTTCGACAAACACTTAAACACCATACTCATAGAGTCATTTGAAGACATCACTGCATGCAAAACACATCAGTGTAGCGGCTAAAAGTATTTAAACCCAACAATTAACGGGATAACATTTCATGTGCATTAGGGGAGTTGAGGAAAACTACTTACTAATAACAGGAATGTCCTTGCAAATTTTGTGACTTGTGATTTTGCTAAGCAGACCGATGCCAGATAGACAAGGCATGAAAACCTCAGTCAATACAAGGTCAATGTTGTTCTGTAGATCTTCAAGATATCGCCATGCATGTGAACCATTTTCAGCAGGAATAACTAAAATGGAAGGAGATAAAATTGCTGTCAAAACACTGAAACACCTAAAATTACCCCTTTTTAGATGTTGATGATAGATAAAATTTCCACTGCTAATAATTAACAATCAAACATAATTCAAACAGGGACATAACATAAAAAAAGCATTGGCCATATTACCAAATACATCAAGGATAAAGTCTACATTTTAAATATCCATGAAATTTCATGAAAAAAGTATGCAATGTTTATCCAAAATCAAGTACCACAGGAACTGGTAGTTACCAGTGTAACAAACTAGGTGAGGAGAGGTGTATTTCTAACTTGGTGACAGTGGGAGGGTACATAGTTCAAGTTCAATCTAAGTCAAATCTCTTTAGATGCATTGCTTTCAATCATTATCAAGAAAAAAACAAAGTTCTATAAGAAACTTAAAATATTAAAGTCTTAATGCAACCTAGCAGAAAGCAGCTGCATGGATGCTATTAATTTAATAGTTGATTACATGCATGTCACTTGTCTTATATGTATCATACAAAGTCATGCTTTGATATATCAGAGTTTTCATGCTTTGCTTTTTTTACAGTCAAGGGCTGAAATGATTTCAATAGAGGCAGTTCTAGTTGTGTACCTTACTACCTATTTGTCGAAGAATAAATAAACTAACAAAATGATCCACAAGAAAAAGTACCATTTTCTGTTGTCAAATAGAAAAATAGCTTGCATCTACATTGTCAAATAGAATAACTTTTGATGTTCATACGATAGAAAAGGAAATGTACAAGCTTAAATTCACAACTCTTGTATGCTAGAATTTTCTAAGCAAAATGCAGTGCAAGTAGAAATAATTGTTACTTATTGCT